ACGAAACACCGTCATCAGTTTGCCGGGGTATATTAACATATAAAGATAAATAACAAAATAAATCAGCCTATAAGAGTCTGTACAGCTATCCATGTCAATTCTTTTAAATCTTGTTTGTTAACCTCATTGTAAAAACTATTTATACCCGGGTATACCCCCTGGGCAAAAGAGATAAGTGAATACGCTTTATTTACCATCATACTTTCCCTTTCCTGTTTTTGTTTTCGTCTGGCACCTCAGGCGGTGAAACTCAACAGAAATAAGCATATTTTTTGTACCTTTTGTATTATGATTTATTCATTTTATTTTGTATTCTTTGATGAAATCTTTAATTATATTATATATACTTATAATTTTTAATATAATAATAATGCATTTTTTTAATATTGCATTTATATTTATTTATAATATTGCATTCCTTTTTTAATACAAAAAATGTGCAGTGAAAGTGTAGCAAAAACACAGCTAAAGCGTAGTAAAATGCAGCTAAAGCCCAATGAATTACACATTATATTGTAATTTTCTAGAAAATTTTCCTCATAAAGTTAATTCATAGTGAAAACACTTATAGTAACATGATCTAAACTAATAAAATCTGATTACGATAGAGAGTTCCGAACTATGCAATCTACTTTTGAAAATTAAATTTTTCGATGGTCGAAACCACTGATTAACTGTCGAAGCACAGTGAAAGCGCAACTAAAGAGCAGTGAATTACACAAAATATAAAAATTTTCTAGAATTTTTTCATAGAAATTTAATTCATATTAAAAACACTTATAGTAACATGATCTGAACTAATAAAATATGTTTACAATAGAGAGTTCCAAACTATGATATCTAGTTTTGAAAATTAAGTTTGCGATAGTCAAAATCATTGATTAACTGTCAAAGCGTAGTGAGAGCACAACAAAAGCACAATGAAAGCGCAGTGAATTAAACATTACATTGTAATTTTTTAGAAATTTTTCTTTGAAATCTAACTTATAGTGAAAACACTTAAAGTAACATGATCTGAACTAATTAAATCTTTTTACGATAGAGAGTTCCAAACTATGCAATCTAATTTTGAAAATTAAGTTGACGATAGTCGAAATCACTAATTAACTGTCATGATGGAGTGAAAGCAAATCAAAAACACATTGAATTACATATTATATTCTCTTTTCTTTTTTTTTTAATTCTTACAAATTTAATTGCACTACCATCTACATATTATCTGCGTATTTACTATGTATTTGCTCTGCATTATATGCATATTTTCTATATATTATCGAATGTGTAGTAAGAAATACTTTTTTAATAAAATGTTGACAAAGAGAAAATAAATCATGATCTAGAACACTCAAACGAACACATACAAAAAATAAATGGAACTCGAAACTTTTCCTTACAACCAAAATTTATTTTGGGGGTGCTACCCTTGGAAACCCCTGCAGGGGCGCTGCCCCTTAACCTCGTTACTCGACCGGGCAAGTTGAACCCCACCAAGGGGCGCGGGCCTCTCGGACCCCCCACATACTCCTCAAGTATACAAAAAAAAATAAAAAATTATTCCTCTTTCTTGGCGTTTGCATACTAGCTTTCATATTCTGCGTTCCGTAGGCATATTATCTACTCGAAGAATGAACATCCCCTCCAAATCATTCTTCATCTTCATCAGCTCTTCCTCATTTTTTCTTTCTGAACAGATACAAAAAATTTATTGAGCTAAAATACTATATATTGTGAAGCTTTTGCAGATATTTTCATTTAAAAAAAGAGCGACAACCCTAAAACTTAAATTTAAAATTGGTTGTTGAACCTTTGGGTCGAGTCGATCGGGTTGATAAGATAAAAATTAAAAAATGAAATCCAACTTGAATTTCAACATCTTAAAACTAAGTGTCATGATTTAACTGGAGTCCGGATGTAAAGCTACATCCGGACTTCGCATAGAATAATTTACCGCATTTTAGATAATAGCAGCTGCCATTAAATTAGGTAGGGTGACATGGAAAAAGCTATTTGTTGAAGTTATTATAGAGAAAGTAATATATTTTGTTTGAAAATTTTACTGTAAAACTGTTTTGCTACACGTAATCTTTTGCATTTATTTTACTTACCCCATTAGTCACCGGAATTATAACTACTCATATTCTGTATCGTGACTTAATCAGCGATGTATGTAATATTTTTCATTTCATTTATGCAATACGAAGTATGCAGCTTGGAAAGAAAGCAAGTAATTGGGCTACTGTATAAGACGATGAATCATGAAAATCATTAACCCAAAACAAATATTTGTAAATATTATTCTTGATATTGGTACTCAAAATGCAAATGAAAAAAAAAAAATTATTAACAAGACTTCGATAACAATAAATCAAGAAGGAAAATAGATGGTAATTGAGACTAAACATTTATTCATAAACATAGTCAATAACTATATAAGTTTCTTAAGCTTACAAGCACATGAACTTAAAAAAAAATAGTAACAATAAATTTTTGCTATCTACTTAACAATCAACCAACAACTCCCGAGAAATTTGATCAAACAAAAGACTCCTAATTAATCTCATTCATCAATGCATTGGTGATTTTCTCCAGTCAATTGATCATCTCCTCAGCACCTGTGTCATCTCTCAACTCAATATTTGTTACATCTTCATTATTATCAGGTAGTGACTTCCCAATTTCAGAACTCATATGCTTCTTGAGATATATATGTTTGATCAACATCACAAATATTAAATTATGAATCATCTCGAGAAGGATGATGACGTATGTAGTTTTGTAATGTCATAATAGCTGCCACTATTTTCACTTGCTGCTTGAACGAATAAGTTGGCATGTCACGTAATATAACATATTTCTTCTTCCACACACCAAAAGATCTTTCAATAACACCATGTAATGAAGAATGTTGCCTAATAAATATTTCCTGCATCCCATATACCAATTGACTATCTATTTCAAAATCAAGAATATGATACCTTGTATTTGAACATAGCTTCAAAAACCCATGTTTCATTGGCTATCCAGCTTTCACAATATAATATTTTCCTATTTAGAAGCATGTATTATTTTCTTATAGAGATATTCAACATTATGAAAATTTGTATTAACAACAACTAACTTGGAGGTGACACGGGAAAGTTATGTAAATTATTACTTAAAGCGAATTTGAAGATGCGGCTGTCATGTGAATTACCCTCCTAGCCTGCCACTATGAATGTGAAACACATGTTAAAGTCACAAATGGTTATTACATTTTGTGTCAGTGAACCACATTGTCCAATATATGCCAACTTCTCAGTATTTGAATTACATGCATCTATATGCATTCCATCAATAACTCCAACACAATCCTAATTGAGACAGCCTGCTTAGATATTATATAACTAAGTAAGCATCATTCCATATGGTGAGCATACTTACCTTGAAAAATGCAATGTAATGGCTACCATATTGTATCTCTCTTGGTGTACTTTGAAACATTGGATCTTTTGGCTAGATATCTTCACATGATAAACTCACTAATGCCTCCAATCTAATTGAGAAATAGCAACAAATTATTTCAGTTGAATGTTGAAATCATTCACAGGTTGACCTTATTGATTCATTATTTGATAATATATACAAGGTTATCACCAATACTTCTCTCCCATTAGTCCTTTGATGGACCATGCAATCCATGAGTAGTTTCTTAAGTCGCATAGAAGATCCATAAAAATAGAACGAGACATGTGAAACATATTATAAAACCTAGCAGGATGAACATATATTAGTTCGACAATATAATTATCTACACTATATGATGAGGTCATGCATGGGGTTTGATCAATATATGTTTCATAGAATTCATTTATAATATATAAAGTAGTTGTAGCAATTTTCATGCTGTGGTCCCCTAGTAGCAAATCATTTATATATATATTTCAATTCAGAACAACATGTTAATAAGGATAGTTGAGATTAATTACAGAAACACCTTTTTTTGTTCATGAAACATATGTGCACTAATTACAGAAACACCTTAAGGAGAGAAAGTGTTGTTTGCTATAGAGAGAAAGTGATTTTCAAATTCACTCGTTCCGGACTGTGCTCGTCGTTCTTTGTCGACGGTGTTCGTCCTCCGATCACCGGACAATGAAAGATGGTTGATGTTCGAGGTTCTATGGATATGGCTGGGAGGAATGTTCCTTCAATTTTAAATTCATCTGAGAAATTTTCTTCTTCCGATTTTTTTGCTGATGAAAATCGAAACCTGAATTCCAAAAATAAACCTCTAATCATAAATGAAGGAGCTCTTTTGATTCCTAAATTGATTATTCCTATTGCCCACAAAGGCAAAAATGTTCTTATTGAGGAAGAAATCAAAAGTCCAAAAGTTCTGAAGACTCTGAAGCAAGTTTCTGGAAGCCCGAATGCAACATCTTCTTCTGATCTTAAATTACATGTGAGTAGATTCTGCAATTCTATTCCTTCGAGTCCTGGAGAACAGATTTCAAATCATGGAAATGCTTTGGTCGTTGATGCTGTGAATGAGGAGATTAGAAAAGATGCACAGAAGATGTCTGGTGTTGGGTCGCAACCTTGGAATATTACTTCTTTGAAGAATCAAAATGATATGGAGCAAGTTAGAACCTGTATTTCAGGAGAATTGAATTCTGATGTTCAAACAGTCAATAAGACTTATCCTCCCGAGAATTCTGTAAAGATGAGAAATGTGAAGACGAATGCCAGGGTGAGAAGTGCAAACATTAAAGTGGACAATTTGAATTTGGGTTCTTTTTTGTCTGATGATGGAAAAACGGTGAAGCTTCACAAGGAGAATTAATGTATTGGAAAATTCAAAAAAATTGGTGAATACTCTTGTTGTCAAGGTTTTTGGAGATAATCTTCCTTTTTATGTGATCAACAATGAATTACGAAGGCAATGGAGCGGCTTTGGGAATTTCAGATTAACCTTGTTAGGACAAGATTGGGTCTTATGCTCATGTGAAAAGGCTGAAACTATGGAAGCTATTTTATGTGAAGGACCTTGGTTTGTAAGAGGCCATATAGTAGGCATTGATAAATGGTCGCCTAATTTTTCAACAAACTCTTTGAAGGGACTCTCGGCTCCAGTGTGGATAAGGCTTCCTAATCTACCATTATATTGTTGGGATGATATCAACATATGCAGAATTGCATCTCTTGTTGGCAAACCCTTTTTACTAGATGGGAATATGTTCCAATGGAACAGAAGAGAATTTGCTAGGATTTGTGTTCGCATCAAGCTGGATGAACAACTTCCTCTAGGAGTTTGGGTGGAAGGTGAATCTAGCAAATTCTATCAAAAAATTGAGTATGAAAAAGTTTCTAAACTTTGTTTCAAGTGTGGAAAGATTGGTCACTTAATTGGGATATATCCTTTGTCTGTGAATGATAATATCAAAGAAATTTCCAAAAAAGGTTCCTCAGGAAGTGGTACAAGCTGAAAGTGCTAACAAAATGGATGATGGTCCTTCTAATGTTGCCAATCCTACAACTGCAGATATACAAATTCCTGAAGAAGCAGGGTATGGACCCTGGGTGCACGTCAGGTATGGAAAGGGGAAAAGAACTAATAATTTTTCATATATTGTCAATAAAGTTTCTCAAAAACCTGTGAGGGAAATTTGGAAGACTGTTGCTACTATTGCTCCTAATCAAATTAATCACCAGAATTTGAACTCGGAAGGGTCTATTATTGAGAAACTAGACAAAGACTCTGTTGAAAATCAAAAGACATGTTGTTCTGTACAAAAGGAAGTTTTTGTTGCTGCTGATCCTAGAAATTATGAAGCTTTTAAAGCTGCTGAAGTTAATAATATTGCTGTTCTTAGCAATACAAAACTAGAAGAAGGGGAAATACGAGATAGTTTCTCCGGGATAGATACAAAAATTTCATCTGGTAAGGAATCCTATGCCCCTAAACCTGTTATTGTTAATAATAATAGGTTTGAAATTCTTAATAAGATTGATGAAGAAGTGGAAATTACTGTAAATGTTCCGAGCAATAATTCAAACAAAGAAGTTGAGTCTGCTTCAGAATTGAAGAATAAGAACATGGAAGTGATCAAAGCTGATAGAGAGAATTCTATTGTGAAGAAAAAAAATGGAAAAAGAGCTCAATACTCTTGGACCAATTAAACTCATGACTAGAAGCAAGAAAATGGAAATGGGTGAAAAAGTCAAAAGGATTGGGGCTAGTCCCCTTCCAAACCAATGAATTCCATAGTGTTTTGGAATTGTAGTAGAGCAAGAAAGGCTCATGCTTCTCTATATCTCAAGGAGTTGGTTGAAAAGAATGATGTGTTGTTTGTTGGCTTGCTAGAAACCAAAGTCTCTTCTTTGAATAGAAAGGATATCAATACTCTTATTGGTATGGATTGGGACTTCTTCCATTATCCTTCTGAAGGCTTGTCGGGAGGTATCTTGATTCTTTGGAATACAAGGTTTGCAACTTTTAATACCTTGTTTTCGTTAAATCAATGTATCATTGATGATTTAGAAATCATTAATAATGGTAGTTGGCGGAATTCTACTGTATATGCTAATAAGAACACCTACAAGAGAAGGGAATTATGGAATCATTTGGAGAATTATTTGCTTGTGAATGGTCCTTCCATAGTGCGTGGGGATTTCAATTGCCTTATTTCTAAAAGTGATAAAAAGGGAGGTAGGAAATTTGATTTTTCTCAAGGTCTTAAGGAGATGAAATCTATTTTTACAAACATTGATTATCATGAATCTAATTTTATTGGACCAAGTTATACTTGGTGCAATAACAAAACAAGTGGAGCTAGAATCTTAGAAAGACTTGACAGAGCTTTTGTCAACTATTTTGCTCTTTAGTCCAATCCGTTATTAGTGGTTCATCACCTACCTCGTATAGCTTCGGATCATTGCCCCATTTTGATGAAATTATGGGAAGATCTTTCTAAATATAATAGCTATATCAAATTCGAAGACACATGGGCTTCTCACTATGCTTCGACTTCTATAGTGAAAAAGTCTTGGAATAGAAGAATTACTTCTCAACATTCTGATGTTCTGGAGATCAAGTTCAAAAGAGTCTTAAAAGCTCTTTCTTTTTGGAGCAAAGCTAAACTAAAGGATCTAAATCTTATGAAGGAAAAGCTGATCATGGAAATTTATGATCTTCAAATGGAGGAGTCTGGGAATGGAGGCTTATCCGATTCTAAGGTAATACTTATTAGATCCAAAATTAATGATTTGAATTGCACTTTAGCTTGAATTAATTCTTGGTGGAGACAAAGAGTGAAGGCAAGATGGTTAAAAGATGGAGACTTTAATACAATGTTTTTTCACTCTTTTGCTAACGCTAGAAGAAATGCAAATTTCATTTTCAAAATTAAAAATGAAGAGGGTGAGTTGGTAGAAGATCAAGCTCTTATTGAAAGTATTTTTTACAAATACTTTCAAAATAAATGGAACTACAGAGAATGTTCTTTGAAGGGATGGACAGAACCGAAAGTTTTACTTTCGGATTATGATAGAGACGTTTTAAATTCTGACTTGATGCTGGAAGAAGTGCATATTGCTGTTAGCCAAATGGAAGGAGGTGTTTCACCGAGAGTGGACGGTATTACTCACTCTTTTTTGAATTTTTATTGGCATATCATTAATATTGATGTTTGGAATGCTTTGAAAAGATTTTTTTCCAAGGGTAAATTGGAAACTAGTTGGAAGGATACTTTGATTATTCTTATTCCTAAAGTTCATTTGCCTATATTGCCTTCTAATTTTAGACCTATAAATTTATGTAAAACTATGTATAAACTTGTAGCTAAAATTCTTCTGAATAGATTTGTGAATCTTCTTCCAAAACTTATATCTGAAAATCAAGTTGCTTTTATTAAAGGCCGGTCCTTATCTGATAATGTTTTAATTGCTCAAGAAGTCTTCAACAAATTCAGATTTTCTAAATCCTCTAAAGGACTGGTTTCCTTCAAAATTGATATGGAGCAAGCTTATGATAACATGTCTTGGGAAACTTTGGAGTAAATTTTAAGCTATTTTGGTTTTCCTACTTACTTTGTAAAGCTTATTTTGGAATGTGTAAGATATCCTAGGTTCTCTATTTTAATCAACGGCAAATCTTCTCAATGGATCGGCGCTCAAACTGGCTTTCGTCAAGGTTGTCCCTGAAAGTTCGTTAGGGATGTTAGGCCCTATAGAACTGGCCCAATGCTAATTAAAAGAGAGAGGTGAATTGGAAAACTTTAAAACCAAAGATAAAACTCCATCCAAAATCACCACAAACAAAGTGCGGAAGAAAAATAAATGCGGAAGCAATAATAAGAAAAGAACTCACCAGATTTATAGTGGTTCGATCAAACTTTGACCTACATCCACTCCTTGGAGGCACCCTCCAAGTATTGCACTAACAAAGTGTCTCTCCTTTATCCCCCACAGCTAGGCGGAGAAGCCCTCAAAAAATCACTTCCACCTTCCCCGGTGCGGCGGAGTCGCCGGGTCCTTTGACACCAAAGAGATCTTCTTCTTTGGTGAACTTACCTCGAGATAAGCCTTGAATCCGATGGTACTAAGGTGCGAGTTCGTCGGAGCAACCGTGTGGAATCCCCTCCACACTCCCTTGAGTTTCTCCCCCTCACAGGATCTTCTCCCTCTCAAACTCCACCCTTTCCTCTCTCCCTTTCAAGCTCTCTCTTCAAGTTTCCCCCACAAGAATGAAGCTACAATGGCTGCTAAAGACAATTATAAAGTGCCTTACCATAGCTTAAAAAGAAGCTCTCAAAACGAGCTCATTAATGCAAGTTGCCTCCATTATCGTCCAGGACGATAGGCATATCGTCCTGGCCGATTAGTTCAAATATTAGGAAAATCGTCCTGAATATCGTCTTGAAATGAAGCTGGACAATGTCTAATCATCCTGGACGATCTTGCGATCAGCCTGGACGAAATCCCCATTAATTGCTTTCCAAAACTACCTGTTTGGAAAAATTGACCTGGATCGTCCAGGACAATATTTTATAATCCAGGCCGATATCCAAAAATAAGATTTTCCTAAGTAGATATGGCAGCATATTCTTGCTGTATTGAGCCGATCGTCCTGGCCGATACAAAATCGTCCAGGATTATGTGTTTTACAAAAAGATGGCTGCTTTAATGAGGATACCCTAATTAGGGTTTCTACTTTAGCCAGATCATCCAGGACGATGTTTCCAAAAATAGAAATCTTTTAGGGCACAATAGAAAATCTTCCAAGTTACAAATCATCAGATGCCACATTAAATACAACAGACTCAAGAAAGGAAAAAGATTACAAACTGACACATACCTAATTTACCCAATCTTGAGCTGGTTCCAGATTGCAGTCTGATCGTGTGGACCTGAAATGTTAGCACATAAGGCAATCGTAGAGAAATAAGAAATGTTTGCTATCATCAAAATCATAAACCATAGATCCGCAACAATCTCCCCCTTTTTGATGATGGCAAAATATTTCAATTTGAATTTTCAAAAAAGGTAATTTCTCCTAATTTCCCACTCACTAGAATAAACCCTTTTTAAAAAAATAGGGGAGATTAAAATATTTTTGTTGTTTTTAATTTTTTTGAAAACAAGATACAAAAGACAGTAACAGTATAAAAAATCAACAATACGTTCTCCCCCTTTGACATTATCAAAAAGAGAGGAGGCACAAAAAAATGAATAAAAGAAAAAAAAAGAAAACGTTCCCTGATCTAGTGAAAAAACAAATATTCTTAAAAT